GAGTAGGTGTCTACTGAGGTAAGGATGAGTAAGTACATCTGTACATGCATGCAGAGGTGAAAGGTCAACCTTGAGTACTGCTCCTCGGGGGGCCATTCCATCTCACCTTTTCAGGTGGTGTTGACAACATCATTTTTATTTTACTTAGTCATATTTGACATTTTGAGACAGTGTCTCACTGAGCAACTCCAGAGGGCCTCTCCCTCCTAAGTGCTGGGGTGAAAGGGGTGCACCACCATACCTGGCCTTGACAATTTTCAACAGGATTTTCTTCTCACACTAACCCTCCTACCCTCTTATCCCAGTCCTCTCATGGAACTCTCCCACCACTATCATGTCTGCTTGTCTGTATGTTTGGCTGAGACAGGGTCTCACTATGTAGCCCAGGCTGTCCTGGAACTCTCTATGTAGACCAGGCTGGCCTCGATCTGCCTGCTTCTGCCTTTGCCTCTGGAGTGTGGGGATTAAAGGCATGTGCCACCATGCCCAGCGGTTTTTGTGTTGTGATTCACTGAATTTAACCTGGGCTGCCTTTGAGGTATGGGCGTGAAGTTATCCACTGGTAATGACTCCTGCTGCCACCAGCAGCCATCAGATGGCCAGGAGCTAGGCCCCATATCCCACCCCCTTTGCCATATTATTTGTTTGTTTTTCGAGACAGGGCTTCTCTGTGTAACAGTCCTGTCTGTCTACAAAGTGATTTGTAGACCAGGCTGGCCTTGAACCACCTTATATATATATATATATTTTTTTAAAGATTTCTTTTTATTTGTCTTTCTGTGTGCATGTGTACCCAAGTTGGGATGCAGACAGAGTCCAGAAGAGGGCATCAGATCCTGGTGCTGCAGGCAGCTGTGAGCCACCATGTGGGTGCTGGGAACCACACCCGGGTCTTCTGGAAGAACAGCAAGCGCTCTTTACCGCTGAGCCATCTCTCTGCCTTTCCCCCATTTTATTTTTATAAGTATTTATGTATTTATTATTATGGGGGGGCATGTACCATAGGCTCTGATGTCAGAGGACAACTTTGTGGAGCTAGAGATATCTTTCTACCTTAGTGTGGGTTCTGGGGATTGAACTCAGGTCACCTGGTTTTTGTGGCAAGTGCCCTACCTCCTGAGCCATCTCACTAGTCCCTTCCCCTCTTTTAATGGTGCTCTAGTAGTCCATGTGCACATGAGCCATGTTTAAATAAGATGTCCCTCTTTGAAATGTCATCCACGTGTTTCTGACACTATGGCAGTAATTCATTGCTGGGTGCATTCACACACAGGAAGTCTATCTATGGCTCATCCCTACCTGTGGAGATGCCCAGCTATCTATGGATAATCTCTACCTGTGGAGATGCCCAGTGGTGTGGGAGAATTGTCTATATTCTGTCAATCATGTTTTAAATAAACGCTTATTGGCCAGGCAGGAAGTATAGGTAGGTCAACAAGACAGGAAGTAGAGGTGGAGCAAGGAGAACAGGAGTATTCTGGGAAGAAGGAAGCTCTTTCCCCATTCCTGCCCAGATCACCGAAGAAGCGAGATGTGAGCTGCCCCGCTGAGAAAGGTACCGAGTCATGTGGCTGACATAGTTAAGGATAATGAGGTAATATTTGTTATAAGAGCTAATACAAAGCCTGAGCTAATGGGCCAATCAGTTTATAACCAAATGTAGACTCTCCGTGTGATTTTCTTTGGGACTTGCCGGCTGTGGAAACAGGGCAGGACAGAAACCCCACAAGCCCAACCCTCACCCTACCTATGGAGATGCCCAGTCTGTCTATGGCTCATCATCCCTACCTGTGGAGATGCCCAGTTTGTCTCTGTCTAATCCCTACCTATGGAGATGCCCAGTCAGACAGGAAGAGCACTTGACTTGCCATTGTGATAAGGACGCTGGCCCCATAAGGGCGCTCCCAGCTCAGCACTGTGTGTGGTTCACCACAGCCCTACTAATGTTACCAAATGGGATGATGCTGTTCTGATAGGACAGAGGCATTGCACTTGTTTGCATTCTGTTCTACCCGAGGATTGAAAGCCCACTTTCAATTCTTCATCTCTCGGCTCTCTGCAACTTTCATTAGTTTTCCTTTGGATTATCAGGCTCCTGGGATTTTAGGAGTGACACGCCTGGTCTGAGTATGGGCTTATGTGCCTGCAATCCCAGACGTGGGAGGGAGGCCAGTGGTTAAAGGCCAGCCTGGCTTACATGAGACCTAGTCTCAAAAACAAGCACCACTCCCCACTAGAACCATAAAAACAAGGGGCTGGGAGGTGGGGCAGTGTGTGAAGTTGTTGCTGGGCTAACACGGAAGCCTGAGTACAGGTCAGTCAGGTGTTTCTGACACTGTAGCAGTGATCCATTGCTGGGTGCTTTCACACGCAGGAAGTCTACCTCTGTCTAATCCCTACCTGTGGAGATGCCCAGTCAAACAGGAAGAGCACTTCGCTATGCATGGTTGTGCACCTTTGTATGTGTAGCTAATTGAATTGAATTTTAGTGTGGCGGGTGACTGCTGGCTTGGGTTCGGAAGCTCTGTAGTTTTGAGCCCCTTCCCCCTCACCCATCAATCTGGGCTCCTGAAGAATGAGAAGTAATCAGAGTGTGGGGTATAGCAGCACCTCACCCCAGACTCTAGGGAACCCCAGTCCTTTTGTTGTTGTTACCAAGAGTTTACTTATTGTGTGTTTTATTATTGCTTCTTACTTATAATGATTTTTATTTTTTGAAATCATAGTTACATCATTTTCACCATTCCCTTTCCTTCCTCCAACTCCTCCCATCCACCTTGCCTTGCCCACTCTCAAATTCATTGTCTCTTTTCCTTTAATTGTTTAATTGTTGTTGTGTGCACACAGACAGACAGACAGACAGACACACACACCCCTTTGAAGGGGACCCTGCAGGTGTCACAGCAGGCAGGGAAGTGAAGGGCGAAGAGGTAAGAATGAAAACTCAGTTCAGATGGACTTCATCAACCTGGATCAAGGCACTGGGGAGTCTGAGCCCAGGCAGTCTGTAGCAGGCTTTCTTTTAGGCCACCAACCAGCTCCCAAATCATGACACAGAGACTTCTTATTAGTTATGAATGCTCAGCCTTATCTTAGCTCTTATTTTAATCTGTTTTTCTTTATCTATGTTTTGCCTCGGGGCTTTTTGTCTTTCTTTCTCTCTCTCTCTCTCTCTCTCTCTCTCTCTCTCTCTCTCTCTCTCTCTTTCTTTCTTTCTTTCTTTCTGTATATCTTATTTCCTTCTGTCTTCACATCTGGTTTCCGATGTCAGGCGTGTCCCTTTCTCCTTCTTTTCATCTCACCTTCTCTCCTATTTATACTCTGCTCACCAGCCTTGCCTATCCATCTACTACTAGCTACTGACTGTTTAGCTTTTTATTAGACCAATCAGGTGTCTTAGGCAGGCAAGGTGAAACAGCAACACATCTTTACATAATTAAACAAATGCAACTTAAGCAAATGTAACACATCTTTATATCCTTAACTAAGGCAGCAGAAACAAGTGTAACACACATAGTTAAAGTAATAGTCCACAACATAAACAAATGGAACACATCTTTGCCTAGTTAAAATAATGTTCCACAACTGTGGTCTACTGTCAGCGTACTTAAAAAACAGTACAATTTGGGGAAAAGTTTCCAGGCAACAAACATCCCAATTCCAGGTGCACAATAAAGCTTCAAGTGTGACTACAATGAAACTCCTTTGCAAAGTGCATGTGACCCTGTGGGTGGGTTCTTCAGCTGCAAGGCCTGGAATCTAGTGTGGTCTCTGATTGCAATAGCATCAGAGCTGTAAAGTACATGTGACATCTCCCTAAGGATGGGTTCTATTAACTGGGAGCTATAGACAATGTCTAGGGAGGGAAGAACTTGGGATAAACATTCTGGGTGAGGTCTGCCTCTACAGACAGCAAAAAGGTCACTATGTCAGGAGCAACATCCACTCCCAGCCTTCTGGGTGAAAATAGAAAATTCCTTGAGGAGAGGCCCCTGTATGTTTAACATTACTGGTTTCCCAAGTGTAACGAGTCTTTCTCTGTCCCACCAGGCAACTCCTTATTAATAATAAGCTACTTCTTAATTATTAATTAATTAACTAATTAATTAATTTTGAAAGCTTGGTCGATGGCTTAGGCTTCTTTTTAACTAGCTCTTATAACTTAAGTTAATCCATTTCTACTAATCTATGTGCTGCCACGTGGTTCATGGCTTGCCACCCCATCTACATATCTTGCTTTCTCTGCGACTCCTCTCCACCCCCACCTCCATCTCTGCTTTTCTTCCCAGTGTCCTCTCTGCCCCCAAAATTCTGCCTAGCTATTGACCATTCACCTTTTTATTAGATCAATCAGAGCAATACTTCTTCACAGTGTACAAAGAGATTATTCCAGAACACCCAAGTGCTTACTTGTGGGCTCAAGGACCTTGTGCCCCCATCACTGGCCAGTCTGTGAAATGTCACTTATATGTGTATAATTTCAGAGTTGGCCACTTGATTTGGATCACCAACTGGAGGTTGGGGAGGCTCTTCCCTGTGGAAGACCATTTTTCCTGTTCTCAGTGTTCCCCAGTTGGCTATAGTTCCTTGTCTAAGGTTGATGTCCCATGAGATTTCCCCGTTCCACCTTAGCCTGTCTGTTTGTGTCATTGTTCAGGTCGTTAGGCAGCCATGTTGATGAGACTTCACGGGTATCGCCTCTCTGACATTTCTAGGAGACACAACCTCACAGAAAGCTTCCTGCTCCTCTGCCTCTTACAATCCCTCCCCCCCCCCTTCCACAATGATCCCTGAGCCTTGGGTGCAGGAGTTGGGTTACGGGTGAATCTGTTGGGACTTAGGCCACACAATATCCTGTTCTCTGCGTTTTGATGATGGGTTGTAGTTTTCTGTAATGGTCTCTGTCCATTGTAAGGAGAAGTTTCTTTGATGAGAGGTGAAAACTACATTCATCTCTGGGTATAAGGATAAATATTAAGAGTATAGTTAGGGATTTGCTGTTTTAGTAAAGTGGCGGCTGTAGGCGCTCCCCCAAGACCCATGGCTCCACTAATGCTGAAGCTGGCTAAGTTTTCAGTACCAGACATGATTTCTCTCTTGTTGAGCACACCTTCAATCCAATTAGAGAGCTGTTGGTTACTGCCAAGGTATGGGCGCCACTGCTGTACCCTTTGGGATATTGTGCCATGCTGGCTGTTATGATTCATAGGCAGCACAGCTGGGTAGGACTGTCGGTTCTTTCTTCCCATGGAGGCTTGCACAGCACCTTCAGGTACCACGGAAGCTGGTCTTCAGTGAGGAGGCTTTCAGGTCAGAGCTAGCTGGGAACCTTCAGGTCCTGTGTCTGAAACACATACATAGGGACTTCAGCAATCGGGACTTACCTTCCACCTGTAGGAGGCAACCGTGGTATCAGCAATAGTCTGTATGTTTTTTATCCTCTTGGGCAACCTTGAACAACTCCAAAGCTTCTCATGCTTGGTGTTGGGGTTTCTGCTTGATGGTCCATGGCTCTTGGGCAAGGAAGTGTTGTTATCCCAGTTGGGAAAATTTAATTTAAACTATGTAGGTACACGTATATACAGTTTCATATGTATTATAAGTAATTCTACATGGATAGATAATATGATTCCTTATGACATTTTCAGACATTCTTACTGTTGTTTTATCCTCTCTTCTTCTGTATAATCTTTCTCCCCCAGCCATAATGAGAGTTCCCCCATTTTTCCCACTCGCTCCACCAAAGTCATGTGTACCCTCTATTGCTCCTCCCTACCTCTGGCCCCTTTCCTTAGAAAATACAGTCTTGAGATGAACTCAGCGAGGAAAAAAACTTCAATTAAACCCAGAAACACTCTGTCCTGGCTGAGATGGGATAGAATGACTGGAAATTATGAAGGGAAAGGAGCCCCTCCCCTCAGAGTCCGGTTGAGAACCAAGAATTCCAACACAGTAAACATTTGCTTAAAGCCATTTGCCCTTCCCGGCTATAGCTGCAGTCTTCTGGGACTCTCACCAGACTCCCTTTGCAGTAAGAGGCCATATCCTAATGGTTTTGTGAAACCGTAGCAGCTTGTGGGGTCATCTTATCAGACTGTAATCTCATCCAAGGCACCTCAGCTGCCTTATTATCTCAGTTATTGAAGAGGGGGGCAGAGGTAGAGGAGTGTAGGGTCTCTCGGAACCATGCTGAATAATGGCATCCCAAACACTTCCAAAGTCTACCACTGGCACAATGAGGGCTTCTATTTTAAAGAGCCCACACCTAAACTCTCAGGTGTGCCTTGGTCTTTCCTTGCATGTCTCTCTGTCTCTCTTCCTTCCTTTCTTCCCACCCTTTCTCCCTTCTTCCTACTTTCCTTCCCTTTCCCTCCCCGCTCTCTCTGTTTTCCTTCCCTTTCTTTCTTTCTTTCTTTCTTTCTTTCTTTCTTTCTTTCTTTCTTTCTTCCTTTCCTTCTTTCTTTCCTTCCTTCCTTCCTTCCTTCCTTTCTTTTTCCCTTTTTTCTTTCGAGAAGGTCTCACTGTGTAGCCCTGGCTTGCCTGGAACTTAATATACAGATCAGATTGGCCTCAAACCCAGAGACCTTTCTGTCTCTGCCTTCCCATTGCTGGGATTAAAGACTTGTGCTACTACAACTGACCTTAAAGCTTTGTTGATTCTTATTCTGGTGTGGGTGTGGGCCAGGAGCACCAGCTCCCTCTGGTCCTGGAGTTACTTGGGTCCTCTGCAGAGCAGTACATGCTCTTAGCCATTTTGCCATCAGCCTGGCATTGTGCCTTTCACCTGCTCCCCCTGCCCACCGTTGTAGAGCTGGGTGTCAAACGTGGACCTTAGACATGCTGAACTCTGTCCCCGAGCAGCATCCCTAGCCCCACTCTGTGTCTTTTCAATCTGCTGCTGTTTTGACTGACGGGTTGTGGGTACACGAGTCGCTCCACTGCTCTGGTGTCTGAACTGGACCCTGACGGGAGTCAAGGCTCAGGTGTCCCCAGCCTCTGGTTGCATCCACAGTTTGCGTGTAAAGGACCAGAGCTGGTTGGAGGTCAGTGGGCTGCATCCTGCAAGAAGGGTCCTAGATCACCCATTGGAAACCATGGTGCCTGCTGGGATAAGGCAGTTAGTTCTCTGCCTGCCGACCCTACATTAATCCGAGTAACAGGACAGCAGGGGCCAATGACCCCACAGGGTCCTCTGAGCTGGGGGTCATACAGCTTTGGTGGCGGGGGCATCTCAGTGGCATTGGTGCTGGCAAAGGTAGGTGAATAGCAATTACTCTTTGTGAAGTCCACAAGAGAGTCTCGCAGCTTGGGGGATGGGTCAGTGGGGCACCACTGTGCTTCTCAGAAGAGGGAATGACCAACAGGGGAATGGGTGTCTTGGCTGCATTCTGGTCTGTTGCCCTCTGAATAGCTTTAGCTCAGTTCTCTCTGGGAAGCAGGGAGGGGTGCCCTCACCTCCGCTACCCCAGAGCTTGGTTGATGTGGTACTCTCTTGCCTGCCTGGCACTGACTTATTCTTTTCAACTCAGCACACTGTTTAGAGGGCAATACAGGAGCCTTGGTGGCCAATGTGCTGTCCCTCCAAGGACTCCACATGACCATGGAGTTACATATCTGAAGTCATCTCTCTCTCTCTCTCTCTCTCTCTCTCTCCCTCTCTCTCTCTCCCTCTTTCCCTGGGTCCTGAATATGAGACAAGAATGACCTTGAACTTCCGACCAAATCTACCTTCCAAGTGCTAGGTTTACAGAGTGGGCTTGGTGTGGGAGGCCGTAGAGAGCAAACTCCAGGCTGTGTGTATGCAAGGCAAGCACATCACAAGCTGAGCTACATCCCCAGCCTGTGGCCTGTTTCTGATTTTTCTTTCTCCCTCTCCTTTCTTCTTTCCTTCCCTCCTTCTCTTCCTCCTTTGTTTTCTTTTATGTGTGTGTATTTTTTTTTTCTTGAGATAGGTTTTTCTGTATAGCCCTGACTGCCCTGGAACTTGCTCTGTAGTTCAGACCGGCCTCGAACTCAGAGATCCACCTGCCAAATGCTGGGATTAAAGGTGTGTGCTACCGTGTCTGGCCCTTTTCATTCAGTTTTTGAGACAGGGTCTCATGCAGCACACTCTGGCCTCAAACTAACTTATAAAACCAAGATGAGTGTGAAATCCTGATTCTCCTGCCTCCACTTGCTAAGTGCTGGGATTGCAGGTCTCCCTATGTCTCTCCTCCACTCATCCCTCCCTGTAGCACAAATTCTAATTGGTCTTATTAAATAAAAACCCAGAGTCAGATATTAGGGGATAGAAGCTGAAAGATCAGAGAAGCAGAGCCGTCAGTCACTAGTTCTTAATCTCTATGAAATACCCCAAAGGGGTGTCCTGTCTCTACAAGTCCTCAGACTGAATCCTGAGCTTCTGTCTCCTGTCTCCTTATATCCTTCTCTCTGCCCAGCCATGTTACTTTCTGTCTCCACCTCCCTGGTGCAAGGATTAAAGGTGTGGGCCCCACCGCTTGGTTCTGTTTCTCTTTTGGACTGACTCAATCTCGTGTAGCCCAGGGTGACCTTGGACTCACAGAGATCCATCAGCCTCTCTCCCTAGTGCTGGGATTAAAGGTGTGTGTCACCACTGCCTGACCTCTATGGCTAACAAGTGTGGCTAGCTCCACACTCTGATCTTCAGGCAAACTTTTTTTTGCCACAGCACAAGCAAAATATCATCACACCTCCCTCCTTCCCCTTCCTTTTCCCCCTATTCTCCCTCTTCCTCTCCTTCCCTTCTCCTCCCCCCTCCTCCTCTTACCCCTCTTTTTCCTTCCCTCCTCCCCACTTCTTTCTCCTTCTTATCCTCCCTCCAACTTCTCCAGGGTCTTATTATATATCCCAGGCTGACCTCAAACTCAGGAACTCCCAAGTGTTGCACTCCCAGGTTTGCACAACCACGCCTGGCTGGCCTGTTTTCATGTGGACACGCTGAACAAACATGCAGGGATACGGAATTCCTTGCATCCCTGGGGCACCACTCACATAGAACATGTATGAGCTGTACACACATGCAATGCTTGCATATGCACACACACACACACACACACACACACACACACACACACACTTTCAGGGTACCCAACTGAGTTTTAAAAGCCAGGAATTTTAGCCCATGTTCCATAGGGCTTCCGCCAGGATTCTTCAGTGGGATACCTTTTGCATCCAGCCTTTCAGGATCACATCCAACTCTCTCTACAAGGTGTTCCCCAGTACCTACAGGCTCATGACAAGCCGGGGAGCCCCATTTCCACCTGGTGCAGATGACTAGCAAAGATGATGATGTATGAACTCAAAGGGGACTCTGGTTGCAGATGTCTTTGCCAAAACCTGGCAAAGCTGTGAACCATCAGATGGCCTGGTCAGTAAGTGCCAGGATCCTCTTGCTTCTGCCCTAGGAAGGTGGAAGCAGAAGGATCAGGAGTTCAAGACTAGTCTCAGTTACATCGCAAGTCTGGAGCCAGCTGGCCACATGAGACCCTATCTCAAAAACACTAAAAGACAAAACAAAAAACCCACACGCCACAGGGACTCACTGCAGTCAACCCCCATTCTTGAGTCCCGCCCTGCCCAGGTCTTTATTTGAGTGCTGATTTTCCTATCACGAATTGTCCTAGTTTTTAAGTGCGGTCTTGTAGCTTGCATGGCTGTCTGCAGTGCTTCAGTAGCCTCTGGCCTGACCCCAGACTTCCTCACACGGGGCAGGACAGCGCATGAGCTGTCACCAACCGAGCCCCTGCAAAAGATCAGGCGCTACCCTGCCCAAGCAGGGGTTCAGTGTCTTAAGACAGGCACCCCCGAAGGAAGACGGCAACTTGGGTCTGTTATTGCCAGTGAAAGGGCTTTGGGTGAAGATCAAAGCCTGGAGGAAGTAGGTGGTTCTTTGACAAAAAACATTGTATTTTTAGAAGTTCTCTGTGGTGTAGGATGTTTTCCCCCAGGCTGCTTGCTGAAGGGGCGATGCCGGAGGTGGCCCCTGCCAGGCTGCCATCTTGGGCTGAGGGCTGGTGGGAAAGGTTTTCTGGCATAGGCTGGAGCTGGGAGACTGAGAGTGAGGGGAATCCCTCCGTTCCTGAAGGGGGCTTCAAGCCCTTCCCACCATGTAGCCCAGGCTGGCCTTGAACTTGTTCTTTCTGCTTCCACCTCTCTGGGGCTGAGGGGTCTCACCAGGGCTCCACCAAACCCCACTGAGGCCTCACTGAGAGGCTCAGAAGCTTGACCGGCCTCCACCCTCCTCCCCACTGTCAACAGGCACATGCCCCCTCCTTCTGGAGACTGGGTCCTGCGCACAGCAATCCGGCAATCACGGAGAACAGT